TTTTTTTTTTAGTGCTGTTTATCAAGCTCTACTTTCATCCCAGCCTTAATGTGAAGGGCATGGCCTTTGACCTCAAGTGTCATTTTGGAAATGTAGTTTCTATTTAAAGCTATAGTCATTTCACGTTTGTGACCACATAGGCTGCAGACAAAGCTCTGACTTTTGAGACCCACATATGGCCTTGCTGACCCTGTGGATTAGGGACATTTGCAGCCAGTGGGATTTTCAAGCTTCAGCGGGCGCACAGATGATTTCAGTAGCCTGCCACAACATTTTTTTATTTATTTATTTTTTTTTATATGAGAGATTGTGATGAATAGCACTTGGTGTGATTAGAAGCACTAATAGGGATAGCCTATCAACTGGTGAAAATAATTGCACGGGGAGGAGGAGAAAAAAAAAGATGAAGAAATGAAGGCAACAGGCATTATTATTATTATTATTATTATTATTGTTCACCTGAATCTTGTCTGGCTTTGCTGTGCATATGTATAGACAGTGTTCGCATGCTGTTATATTTACAATCATGTTGTTGGTTTAAAGCATCATACAAGGCAGGGAGACTTGTTTTTTTCCTCATTTTTGTTCTGTGTGTGTGTGTGTGTGTTTTCCTCTCACATGTGTCGACTGTCTTTTATATCCACATACCTAAAGGATCAAGACTGTAATGAACACAGATCATGCCCAGAAGGTGCATCTGTGTCTCAGGGACAAAATCTCCTTCAGCTTGTTATAGAGCCACTGGATATACTTTAGCGAGATATGAGGCAAGGAATTGAATTATTTTTATTTTTTCTTTTCTTTTCTTTCCAACTCTCTCCCCCCTCCTCTGTTGCTGTCTTTCCGTGAAATTGCTAAAGCTTTACCGGGGCTGCATGTGAATATAGCTTATAGTCTGGGTTGATTTGAGTGAGTAGGAATGATTCCTTTTTTTTTTTTCTTTTTTTTTTGGAATAAACGAAACGCGTCTCTTTTTAGGACCAAGCGGCCCTCTCGACCTCCATGCTGGCTCTGGCAAGGTACCAAGTAGCACAAGTGCCGACTAGCCAATGGGGTTCAGGGGGAGGTCCCTGAGCTCTGACCAGTCAAACACACTCTCCTTCCTTATATGGCAGCTGATCTCCATGGTAACGTGTGCTAAGTTGCAGCAGTCGTGTCAAAGTTCACTATATAGAGAGCTCAGTGAGCTGATCAGAGAGAAAGCATTCTGCCAGCCCGGCTCCTACCAATCGCAAATCACTTCCTAACCTCCGCCTTTTTAACATATTTGATCACTTTGATTCCCTACTCCTTTTTCCTATTATTTTTCAGTGCACGGAGGAGGTTTTGCAGGTTGTGATCTTTGTTTTTTTTTTTTTTTTTTT